ACACACACACACACACACACACACACACACACACACATCAACACACCAACACACACACACTTTCATTGACTTACTCTCCATCTGCCTCAGTGATGTCATAGCTATCGATGGTATGGTGCTAATGCTGTGGATGTGCTATGGATTTTAGCTGGAAGGGCATTCAAACAGTCACTTTGACGGGAGGACAGAGAATGGATCAGTGTGTGTGTGTATGTGTGTGTATGTGTGTGTTCTCGCCATAGAAATAGAACGGGAGTATAGAAGGGACATTCCCATTTAAATCAACGGAGCAGGATGGTGAGAGCGGCTAACTTCTGTATAAACTAAACCGACTTTCGGCAAGTTGCGGACTCACCGAGGTGAGGTTTTGCAGTTACGACTAAAATGAGCAGTGGAGTAATAATGTAGTAATGTTGCGAAGCGTAGAGAGCTAATCTTCAGTTACCAGTGTAGCATTAAAGCATGGTGGAAAAAGCTAACTAGCAAACAAGTGCCTAGTCAGCTAGCCTGCTAAAAAGAAAACTGTTCCTGGGTCCAACTGCCCCAAGACATTTGAATATTTCGAATTGCATTCTGGGAAATTGAAATGTTTTTTTTTTTTCACTATATTCTGAAATAATCAAGAAAATAATCTGCAGATTGACTTACTAATTAGTTAGTTAATAATTAGTTGGTTCTTGAAAGAAACAGACGTTTCCTTAAAATACCGGCACAGCGGTGATAATCCAGCAGGACTGGTTGCTGGACCCTCTTCGGACTAGTCATGAATGATGCATCAGAATTGGCACAAGTAGGCTTTAAATGGAACTGTACCAATTTCATCGACACCAAACCCAATCCACAAATCACACGTGTCTGTATAATATGCCATAATCTAGAAGCTCCAAAGAGGTCAAAGTCAGCTCACATGCAGTCCTCCATTTACAGAACAGAGCAGAGTTCACCAACACTCCACTGGCCTGTCTTTAAAAGACACAACCATCTGGACCCCTTCTTGCTTACTGCACACATGAGCCAAACACTGACCGCCACAAACCTCTTTGTGTTACCTCTTTTATTCACGCTGCAGCGAGAGAGTCACCAGTCGATAACTCCACTGATCACAGCCAACAATACAGATCCCTTCAAATCCCCCAGCAGCAAGAGAGCCATTAAAAGAGCTCCTCTTCAAAACTACAGACTCCCGGTTCATCCAGAGTCTATGCACTTGAGGTCTATTGGCCACGTAACCTAATCCATAAGACCTTAAACAAACCAAATAAGGCTTCAACAGATCAATGAGCTGTTTGTTTGGATGGAACTTGACATGATCGATAAATATCCGACAGTCTTCTACAGCGATACAAACAGGGAACAGTGGGGGGGGTTGTTTTAAAGAAACCATTTCTGTCTGTTGGTATAAGCAAAAAATAGAAAACCTGATAAGGGTCATTAGCTTGATATAAGGTAGATATTGGTTCTTAAAAAAACATTTTTTTGAATGCAAATGAAATGCAAACGTGAACATTTGACCTGGACTATCTCTTTGTACAACTTCAAACTGCGTGCAATAACAAAAGTATAATTTAAATCCCTAAGAGGGGACCCCTCTGCTTCCTGCTTCCTGTGACTAACCCAGTGTCTCACCTGATAGGGTAGTCTGCAGCGCTGAGGTTGATGAAGAAGTCCCAGGACCAGTCGGACATCTGGAGAAGGTCCTCCATGCTGCGTAGGTACATCGTCAACAGGCTGGCCCCGCCCCAGATGGTGGACATCCTCCAGGGAGTCACCCGGACGTTGGGATAGCGGCCGGCCAGAGACAGGACTTCTCTATAGAGGTAGTTGGACCTCTGAGAAGGGTTTGAAAATGACAACAAGAAGGAAGGTTAAAGCATGCTTTTGTTTTCTAAACACTTTTTAAAAATCATCATTAAAATATTTTGATAACAACACTGAATGAAATGCTGCTAGAACTACCAGTCTCCCTGAGAGCTAACGGCCCAACTTAAAACTCGTCGTGTCAGTAGAAGAGTCGCTTTAAGAGTTGTTTCATGTCTAAGTAACGCCTACAGCTGCGTCAGTCTACATTCAAGTTAGTCGCCATTTTTGTTTGTTATTGACACAGAGTGACAGCCAGTGGTCTCACCAGGTCTACATGGATGTAGTAGTAGTGCGAGGTGTGGTAGATGGCTTTGAAGAGACGCTGGAACTGGCGTGAGCCTCGGCCGTGGACGACCAAGACGAAGGCGATCCGTGCCGGAGCGAGCTGGGCAGCTTCTGAGGGCTCCTCGTCCCACTGGACGTTCACATTAGCCTTACCTGGACACAGAGGACACGGACGTCAGCTCATGAGACATGCAGCAGTATTCAACAGGATCTACATTTCATAGGGTGATTTTAATGATGCTTTTCATGTCCTGTATGTCAGCACTGAATAATGTTTTTTTTCTGCACTTTCTTGAATTTCTGACATGTGCGACAAGGTCTGCAGTCCAGGGCTGAAACGTTTAATCAATTAGTGAATAAAAAGGAAATAAAATGGCAACCATTTAAAAATTCGGAGCTTCCAGCTCGTCATGACAGGATTTCTGCTTGTCTTTATCTTATATAATAAGAATATTTATATTTTAGGCTTTTGTAGAGTTGGTCAGACAAAAACAGGTGAAAACTGCACTTTTCACTATATTCTGACTGTTATTAGACCATTTGCAGCCCTACTGCTGTCCAACTCTAGTTTGTGATACATTTATTGAAACTTAATCAGAAGTTTTTAGCACACATTGTTGGTCACAAATCTGGGAAGAGAATAATAATAATAATAATGCATTTTATTTGTAACGCACTTTTCATATAAAAAAATCTCAGAGTGCCAGAATGTCAAGACACATCCTACTTGCTGGATTTCTGTTTCTTGGTTGCCACAACGCAACTGTCACTGTCAACCCTGCTCTCCACTCGGGCCCTCCATCTTCACTTCCGTCTTTTTTGAAAATGTCCTGCCGTCTGTGGCTGGCTGAGCTAAATCTGCCTCTTGTATGTACAAACTCTCTAGCAGCCTAATGCTTCTCCATCATCACGCTCACTCTAAAGACGGCGCGGGTTGAGGCCTGCGTGGCCTAATTAGTGACCTCCCCGAGCTGCAGGGGCATGCTGGGATTGGGAGTTTGAGGAGAAATGACTGTAATCAGGCGGCTCAGCTGAGCGCCGCTGTGCAGACAGAGGGAGGCAGGGGGAGCGATGTCGGGCACCGATGGGGATGTACACTTAAATCTGAATGCAGAAACAGCAAACTATGGTTCAACAACCCTCTCGTTCCTCTTTGACAGGCTGAGCTCACGTCAGTCAAACTCAAATGAAACCAAATCATCTTTCACTGCCGCTCCAGTCTGTGGATATAATGAGTAGTGTGTCATCAAAGCGACATATAATCATATAGATTAAACCTCAAACAGCGCAGGGTGGTTCAGAGAGCACGACTACAAGTAAATCATTAGTCAGCCATTCCAAAAATAAGACTACAAACTGCTTGTTTAATTGGGGTGTAATTACGCTGGCTGTCTCATCCTCGCTGTGTCCATCCGAGTTTTAAGTCTCTGGAAATAGAGCCGGCAACAAACTGGATGCCTCTTCATGGCTCTGGCACGTGCCGGGTTAAAAATGCTTCTCAAAGGATAAATTTGTAGGAAAAAAAAAACCCTCTTTGACTTTTTGCAACCTGCCACTTCACAGCCGCTGCCTGTTCGTCCCGATTCCTTTGACTTTTTGTCTTTCAGTCTGTCCCCCTCTCATTTGCTGACTGGTTCAATCACAGGCTGCGTTAACATGAAGAATAAATCGGTTCCTAAATCATATAATACGTTTAAACTAACTGTGTTCAATAACTCTGGTGCTCGTGTTCTGGATTGCAGCCATACTGTAAGTAGAGACTACTTGAACTCAAACCAAACCATGTTTAAATTCAGTCCAACAGAAAGAAAAATGTCTGCCATCTTTTCAGTGTGAATAGACTGACCTCCTGAAATGTCTTCAAGACAATATTTTCCACTCCATTGTTGGCTAGATGTCAATATTGTTCAATGCATATTGGAAAGTTACATAAAGATACAAATTGATTGTGAAAAAACGTGAGTTAAGAGTCTTTATTCTACGTTTTTATTTTAGTATCTTATATCCAACAAGTGTATTATTAATCCATCATTATTTTTCATGAACTTATTGATTTTCTCTGAGTGGTTTGGTGTTCTGGTCTCACCTTCGATGGGGCAGTAGCGAGGCACCTTCTCAGGCATCAGCGCTCGGTCTTTGTGTTTGCAGTAGACCTCCACTATCTGCTGCCGACACTCTCGGCTCTTGGCTCTGGACAGAGCAGAAATGGCTTCCTTCCCGCTAATCTCACACTGCGGCTGCTCTTTCCTCGGCTCCAAACCGGGCGGCGGCGGCGGCGTGGACGACGGCGTGGACGACTTCTTCGCCTGGTAGAGAGCCGGATCCTGATTGGACCCCTGGACCGGTACCGGGACCGTCGGCACCTGTGGGTGTGGTTTACGGACGTGGGTGCGGTTATGATTGTGGCCTAACCCTCGTGGTTGGACAGGAGGGAACTTGAGGACCTCGTTGGCAGATTTTCCCAGCATGCTTTGTGCTTGTGCCTTGTCCAGCTTGCGTTTGGCGTTTGATAACGGTACTCGCAGGCGTTGAGATCGAGCCCCCAGGTTGCTGTTGCTGTCGATGGTGTCGAAGTCTTTAGGGACCGAGTTCTCATTGTTGTTGCTGTCCGGGCGAAGTTTCTCTTTTGGCCGGTGGGAATGGTAGACGTCCTGTGAGGGAGAAGATACAATAAGAAAAATAAAACAATTACATCCTGTAATCCTGAAAGGCCTTCCTGACCTCCTCATACTGCGGAAACATACATGGTGGTATTCTGATGATTCTGAGAATTGCATGAACCAACTGTGTCGTTCCTATCAGCTCACTGTTTTGGTTGGATAGCCCAAGACTTTTCTGTTTCCGTTCGGTCTCAGTCGCTCTCATCAACAGCTCTGATGAAGCCACTTTACACCACCTGCTCAGCAGCAAACAGCAGACAGACTCCGTTAGAGACCAGCTGGTGAACATAGAGGAGCTTTTAGCAGCTAAAGAGACAGACGCTTGCCTCAGGAGTTTGAGGTGGAGACCAAAACCAGAGCTAAAAGAGAGAATATTGGACTAACGTTCATATTGTGACACAAACAAAAGGACTTCTAATGAATCATCATATTGATCTGTAACTGCTGGATGTGCAGAAGAGCAACGGTTCACTCACATGTGAAATCTCAAACTGAAACGACAGTAAATGACAGATATCATTAGAGCTTTATGTCCTTCTTCCACTGGCAGGAAATCACCGCCATCACCATAAAAACGCCTGAAGCTGGAGCATAAAACTACCAGAGAATCTCTGCCACTCATGACGACAATAACCACCATGACCCTGTTACACTGCATCACCAGACCTGACACACTCAATGAGATCATTGTATTTTGAAAATCATCGCATTTCTAAAGTAATTTGTAATCTCCAGTTGATTGACTTGGATATCTGACTTCCTCATGCAGTCAGACTTCAAATCCACTTTCACTCTTTCTAGGAAAAAAACAAAGAGCGAGCTGAAGAGACACGAGACGTCAAAACAAAAAAAGTGGAAGTGACTTCCTTTAACCTTTAACCCCTGAGACACAGGCAGCTCTAGCCTTGGCCTCCCAGAGTCAGGTGGTGAGATATACACACACACACACACA